GTGTGTAAGTATACGGAGGTGTAGACGTGTACATACACACATAGGTAATACTCTTAAAGATGATCATTTGGGGCAGGTTTTCTACTTAAATTATGAATAACAGAAATCTTCAAAATTTCACATGTCCAACGGCATATATAGAAAACAAGGAATAAAATACAAAATGTTCGTGTGCTTTGGATGAAAGCCAATGATAAAGATAATGATGACAGTATCAAAAATCCCTTTGAGATTTAAGAATCCTTATTTTAGCAATTCAAACATGCTGTAACCCTGATATGAATTCCATATTCTGATAAAAATGGCACTTTAAAGATTTGGTAGAGGACAGAAATAATTTTGATGCTGTTAAATCATGTAAAGAGTGTAAATTGTTTACTCTGTTAAAGTGACCATTGCTAATATTGATAATTATTTTCTATAGGAGACTTACGTACAACTTGTAATCAAAATAAAGGTAACTTTTGTCTACCTATCCTGCCTTCCCAGCCCTCTGCCCATGCCGCATCACACACTAGAGTTCTGTAACTGTTGATTGAACTCTTGTGCCTTCTGAATGTTGAAAAGCTTAATTGCTACTAAGGATGTGAGTCATGGTTGAAAAATTTGCAAAGCATACCCATTTTCCTCATAAAGTTTTTATAAATTCATGTTTCGTTCTTAACATAGTATTTGTCTTCATCTCATCTTTCCCACTGGTGCTTGGATCTATATATTTTTTCTGTCACTTTAAGCAACAGGTACACTGACAATGAAAGAGGCGCTCTGCAAAACAAGCCCGGTCCTCTAGTGTCAGGTGCTAATGGCAACCAAAGGCAGCTTCAGGAGTTCTCACCAACCTACCTAGGCTTTTGAGGGATGGCCCATGGGTCAGCGAGGCTTTGGCTGGGGGTGGCATGAGCTAAAAGAAAGGGATCTACATTTTTTTGAATCAAGGCATGGATGCCACTATGGGAAAATGACAGCAGATACCATTTAAGCCTTAACAAAGATGAAAACAAAAAGAAAACCACCATTTTCTCAAATTCCCCAGGCAAGGGGATGAATCTCGGGGAGCAGAGTGGCTGTGTACCGTGATGGGCTTGCCAATTAAAGCAGGCGGAACCCTTCGGGGGTAAGAGGACCTATTAAAAGTCTAAGAGAAGAAAACAGAAAAGAAAGGGCAGATTTTGTTATTTGTTTAAAAACAGCTAGGAAGCAAGGAAGCTTGGGGGAGAAGAGGATATTCACATCGCAGAGTGTCAATTTTCTACCTGAAGGACTAAACTACTTTAAGTCACTCCCAACCTGGCATGGAAAGGATTTAGCAAGACAGCTATTAAAGGCTCCATTATCCCATCCACCAGTCGTCTCAGCCAGCAAGTCTCCTTGTGGGCAACACTCAGGTATCTGCGAAGTTTTTACAGCATACTGTACTTATGTCTGCAGCCTGCAATTTAATTCTTTTAAAAGCAACAGTAAGTCCTGTCCGTCTCCGAGCTCTGTGATAATAACCCTAACCTCAGCTATTGTTCCATTATCTTAAAAAAGATTTAAAGCAACTTGCTGCTTTATTTATGTTGCACCTGGCACAACGTGAGGAAGAAGTTGCTTTTTTTTCCTTCTTCTCTTGCTCAACTTGGGAGAGAACTCACTTCAATTATGGAGCTAAGGAAATTTTCTGGGCCCGTGCTCATGTAAAGACCTTTTGTGCCACAGATCAGCTCCCTCAGGCCCAGACATTATTCTGAACAAAGGCCCAGGAACAGGTGCATTCCGTATTGCTAGAGTTTATAGAGAACATTTTCAAAATAGAGAAATTGAAAAGGGCTGCTTGGATGAATTTTTGCAGCATCTCACTCTGTATGTAAAGTAATTGGCTTGGATATTTTCTATATGACACATCTGGCTGCACTTTGTGTGTGGGCATTTCTAACAAGCGTGACAATTTCAACTAATATGGTCTAAGTTGTACACACAGCTTGAAGATGAGTTTGTGGGTTCCTTCAAACTGGAATGATTACAAACCGTTCCAATGAGTGAGATCATGGCCTCATCCTTTCCAAACACGGTGACCTTCCAAGGTCAGGATGCATATAGAAAGAGGAAAAAAAGACACACAAAGCTCATTCTGCAAAATGGATAATAAAAACCATAGACCAAACTCCATTTTGAACACCTGAGCAGCTCTTGCTAAGGTAATGATGAGAATTGGCATGAAAGTTAATACGGTAAGTAGAACTACAGTCACTTTAAGCTCATTTACATGATCAGTAAAATGGAGCAAGATGTCAATTGTCTGAAAATGAAAAAAAAAAAAGGAAAGAAAAGAAAAAGAAAAGGTCAACTTCTGACCCACAATTTAGGAAATTATTCTATTCCTAAGGCAATCAGCCTGTCATTCAAATAATTCCCAGCTCCGTCATTACAGGAAACGACACACAAAGCAAGTTGTCTGTCTAAAGCTGCTGTGGCATTTTGATATACAATAATGTGACCTATGACCTTCAGTAGTTGAGTTTCCAAATGTGCAAGATTTTCTCAAACATTTCCCCTAACACAATTGTTCACATTAAGTAGATAACGTAGAAATACATGCCAACATATTCACTGTCCCAATTCAAAAAATACCTTAGAAGAAACCAATAGATTTCAAATCATTTTCACTTCTCCAGGTGAAAAATCATCTAGAGCTATTGCTAAGGAGGAGGAAACATTCATTTAGCCTCAAACAAACCTGGAGATCTTGCATGCAGATACAATGCCATCGACCAGAAATCAATTCATCCATCTTGGTTCCCTGAGAAACGTTTCTTTGTTTCTCAAAGTTATATATTTAAAATATATTCCCGCTTCAAAGAGGGAATCTTTTAAGCCTTTCCTGATCACCCAGCACTGATCTGGGCCTTGCACCTCAGGGCTTCGCAACACTCCGTGCGTACCGCTAGCATGCCACGTCCACACAGTACCAGGTATTCCTTTACTTTTAGTAGCTCCACTGGAGAGTTCGAAGGGCATCCTTTCCTTCCCACCTTCATTCTCCTGCACCAAACACGATGACTGGAACACAGGAAGCACTCACCGAATTTGATGAATTAAAGAGTAAATGTTGGGAAAATGCTGGTTTGGAATCCACATTCCCACGGGAAGTCAGACAGCTGACACTGCTCCCCATGGCTGAGGACAGGGGATGACAAGTCCACGTGGGGTTTGCAGGGCTGGAACCGTGTGCCTGTGTGATAACCACTTCCAAACGCAGTGCTGTTTTCTCCCTCAGGTTGACACTGCGCTCGTGACTCTACTCAGCCCCTTTGTGCAAGTATACACAGCTGAGAATGTATTTACCACTCATCGCAAAAGAACCCTGCCTTAAGAAACCTAGTAGGAATAGATTGAGTCAATTATGCCAAACAATGTAAGTACGTTAACATCATTCTGTCGTGTTGCTACATGGGAGTGACTCAATTTACTTGATCGTCTATAAATATGAACTAAATACCTTAGAAAAAATATCATTAATAGGAATATTGTTGCAGAAGACAACTAGAGATTTTCTTGAATATTTGACCTGAGGAAGTTGTTGTGGAACTTCCCCGAGTCAGGCAAGAACTGATTTCATGGGGCATTTTTGCTCAATACCGGTCCCATATTGCTAATTGCCTGTGTTAAGGCCCCATGTTGCTCACCTGAACTAAGGTTCAAGCTGCAGTTGACCCTTGAACAGCACAGGTTTGAACTGCACGGGTCCACTTATGCACAGATTTTCTTCTGCCCCTACCACCCCTGAGACAGCAACTCCAAGCCCTCCTCTCCCTCCTCCTCCTCCTCCTCAGCCTATTCAACATGAAGACGACAAGGACGAAGTCCTTTATGATGATCCATTTCCACTTCATGAATAGTAAATATATTTTCTTTCTTATGATTTTCTTAATAACATTTTCTTTCTCTAGCTTACTTTATAGAAGGAATAAATAAATAAAACAGTATATAATGCATAGAACAAACAAAATATGTGTTAATCAACTGTTTATGTTATTGGTAAGGCTTCCGGTCAACAGTAGGCTATCAGTACAGTCGTTAAGTTTTGGGGGAGTCAAAAGTTACGTGCAGATTTTGACTGCACAGAGCTGAGGGTGGATGTCGGCCCCCCACATTGATCGAGGGTCAACTGTAGTAGTGCTTCTCCCATTTCTTCTTCTTTCATGCACAAAATTAATCTTCTTGAAACTCCAATTTGGTCACTAATCTCTTAATCAAAAACCTTTATAGGTTTCTTGCTTTATGTAGAGTAAATGATATCGAAGATGTTGGGTTTTAAGACCAAAAAGGACCTCAGAGATCATCTAGACTCTAGAAGGGCACTTCTCAACGTTGAACATGTTTCAGAATGACTTAGAGAGTCTGTTAAAATACAGATTCCTGGGCCCCACCCACAGAGGTTCAGATCTAGTGGGGTCGAGGCAGGACCCAAGAATGTGTCTGAGTTTCCAGGTGGTGCTGCAGGTGCTGTTCTGTGGACCACACTTTGAGAAGTTCTGACCTACAGCAGCAGGTGACTGGTTCCACGCAGGCCTCTCTACTCAACCAGAGGAGCTCTACCGGCATCTGCTCTGCACTCTCAGCTTCGTTTTATTATCAGGTCTTTCATTTTATCAAAGGGTCTAGTAACTGACACTTGTCATCTATTCTAATCTTCTTAGTTTACAAGTAAACTGAGGCCTGGAGAGCTGGGTCACCTACCTGGCTAGTGGGCCAGTGTTCTGTCCTGGAACCTTCCTTCCTCAAACTTCCAATCTAGCATCAAAGGCTCCTACTACATTTCTACCTTCCATCCCCACCCCCCCAACACAACCAACCTCTCAGTTCTACTTTAGCTGGGTAGTTAACCTTTCCCCAAATAACACAGGACCAGTTTTTTTTTTTAACTTGAAGTCTTTCCTAACATCAACTCTCCCAAATATCTTGCATAATTGCATTCCCAACACTTTGAACTGAACGCATCAGATGACAGACACTAATCACGGATGGCACACCTCGGACCTCAGCATCACACAGAACTGTGCCACCGCCAGGATCCTGGAGGCCCAAAAATACACTGCTTTGAACACACCCTCCTCATCTCGATAACCTGTAGACTTCTGACCACTCTTGCAGATTCTCGGGCTATCAGAATGATCCTTCCTGCGCTGTACTTGTTCCCTGCCCAGCCTGGGTGATGCTTCACCAGGACTTCAACACCTTCCTTTCCGTCTTTCCAACTTTCCATCTTCCATGTCTGTCTTGCCAACCCCCATTACAGAATTAACATATGAATTTGTTCTTTCTGTTCCCAGTCCTATGAGCATTGTTGGTGATGGTCGTATTAACGCGTCGATCGGACTTACTAATTCCCTGAGCTAGAGTTAGAATAAATAAGAAGCTTATTTATTCACCCCTAACTGACTCACTCTCAGGTTTCCCGAAGAGACTCTTCAAACTCCCCATCATGTTAAACCTCCAAACCTGCTCCGACACCTCCCTTCCCAGAAGTGCCATCATCTCTAGGGTGAAACGCAAGATCAGAATATGGGTCTGACGTTGAGAAAGCCATTCAAAGTTTTGTTCTAGAAAGATCACTCTGGTGGCTGTGTGGAGGACGGGTGAGAATAGGGGTGCAGAGAGATAAACGAGAGGGATTCAACAAATAGACAACGGGGATGAGGGAGATTAAAGGATCAGGAATTCCTAAACACTGTACTTTGTGCATTATAGACACAATAGACATGTGCTGAACGAATTTATTTGGGCTCTGCTTCTGAGAAAGAAATATCTATAGAAAATTATTAACTAATTCAAAAAAAATGCACAGTTGGGAGGAAGAATACTTTTGCCATGTCTTGTCGTAAGGCTGATGAGACCAATTATTATGCAATGGAAAGATGGTAGAACAAGATATAAAATGAAATTAGCAATGATGAAACTCAGATGGACATGAGGGAAAGGTCAAAATGTTAAAGGTCAAAGGAATTTGGCTCCATCTTGATGCATTTCATAGAGGACTGAGGTCATAGCTCAGTGGCCATTACTGCAGGGAAGCCATAGAATGGTTCGTTGTGCCCAAGAACCCAGTACTTACCCAGGGTTGTTCAAAGCTGTAGGTACGTCGCCGATCTTCTACGTCTTCATCCTGCTTTGCTTGCTGGAATTCTTGCCGCAGACGCTGTATCCGATCATGGTTGCTAGGAGTTGATCTGTTACTAAAAGAGAGATGGGGCAACAGTGAGCACCCTTCAGAAATATTACCTGGGAGCCGCAGCTGCTAGCAAAAAATGGCAACTTGCTGTGAAATGACGCTATGTACAAGAAAGTGAATTTTTAAAACAATATCTGGCCATTTTCAATATGATTTCATTGTGTTCTTAGGATTAAGGCTTATTGAAGTTTTTTCAGATATTCAAGAGAGTAAGCAGTATTTTTAGATATTACTTTTTTCACACTGTTCTTTAAATCCTCATCTCCTTTCTGTAATCTGGCAAGGTGCTGGCAGGGAAGTTTTCTTGGAAAGTCAGAAATACCAGGGTCCAGTCCCAGCTCTTCCACTTTCTTAGACTAAGGCACTTAACGCTTCTGAGCTGCAGTTTCTTTATATATGAAGTGGAGAAAATACTTTGACTCTAAATACCACACTTGTAATAAACAAGTGAGCTGACACTATAACACACAGCCTCACAAATGTGATTATTTTCATATCACCATTACATGAAGTTCCTAATATGAATCATCAAAAGTCTATAAACAACACATAACTCTCACAGCATAAACGAGAAGCATTTTTAAAATAGGTTCAGGTGGTAGTTTGATTTAACCAGTTAGTTAAATGATGTTGCCTTCTTTTTGTATAGTACTGAATTTTATCTTATGCTCACAAAAGAGCTTGTAGGGTAAGTGCAGAAGGTAGTATTTCATACACATTTATGAACCTAGAAACTGACACTTGCAGAAGTTAAGTGGCTTGTTTAAAGTCCCGCTCCAACCCTCATTTTGCTATGCCATGATATCCCTTAGGAAAACATGTATTGGACTCTAAAGCCCCTCCTTTGTAAAATCATACAAATTTTAAAAACAGTATCTGCAAGAGTCATAGAAATGGATGACCATTAAATCCCAAATGACTTCTGGTCTATTCCATTCGCTAAAGCACCAAGTTGCATCCTATCAGAAAAGCTATTCACGCCCATCAGGCATATACTGTCTCCCCAACCAGACTTGGGCACGAGAACCACGTGGACAAGAACCACGTCTTTATATTCTCATATATACCCTCCAAGCTGCTAGCAGAACGGGAAGCTGTAAAGCTATTAGGAAGACCAGGTCTCTTCATGGAAAGCATGTTGCCATGGTTACTCGGGGTATGTGAGTTCTGTCCGCTGAACCCCTCCTGGGTGACGTCATTTGAGAGAGGTAGCTTGGAAAGAGAAACTCTACCAGACTAGAGTGCATAAAACTCTCACACAGACGTATGCCTACATACAATTCTACGTATTTTAAAGAATTCCAAAGGTTTCAACATCTCAGACTGAAAATATTCACGTGTGGGACCACAAGATTAACATCTTCTAAGCATATGGGATAGTCTTTCATCATTTAATCTATTGGGAGGGGTCCCCATCACCTTCTTGTTTCCATCAATTTCACTAGAGCTTCTAGAATATCAATACATTCAATTTGATTATTTTCTCAGTCCATGAAAGCTTGCCCTCCCTTTGTTTTCTTCTGACAAATCCTTTGAATTGATCAGCCTGTGAACATTAAAGGCGAACAGGTGTCTGTAAAATGTGCTGCCCGACAACGCTGGGCTTCAGTCCAGGTTGGGTACAGCTTCAAAACTCCCCTCCATCCTTTTGACGTGGGCAGCTTGTTGTTCCCACCGGCTTTCAAAATGTATATTGTGCCAACACATACATTTTCAGTCACGGCAGCCCACTGTAATGGCAGATCTACAAAGCCCCTTACTTATGCTGTATGCAAAACTGTGACGGTGTAGGCACAAGGATGGTTCGATTCATAACACAAAGAGATAGGAAGGTGAGCAATCGTTAACCCCATGGTCATTGCCATGTTTCCAGCTGTGTTTTTGTTCTTGGCATACTTCAGAGCTTTTAACATGAAGATTGTAGCAGGCTTGACCAACAAAGTGTTTTACAAGTCTAAACAGAAGTACGAGGGCTGTCTGGAAAATGTCTAGCCACGGAACTGTTCTCGTTATATTAACAATGGCTGGATACTTTCCGGACAGTCCTCATATTTCTCTATTATTTGCAACATAAGAGAGTTTTAAGCCCACAATTATTAGGTTCATGAAATCCAAACCATTGATGAAAACTGACCTCCTATACTATTTGTGATTAACTGAAAGTCCATTCTCTCAACAAAGAAAGTTGACCCAGTGTCCATCATTTTAAATTCTGGTGCCCTTGAGGTCGTCCACAGTAAAAGACAAGTGGTGGAAGTCACTTCTGCTCTTATTTCCAAATCTGGACAGCGAGCGAGACCATTGTTTTACCCTCTTGTCCTTTGCTCTCTTTCTCCCAGTGCTCTAGAGACAGCTGCCTGACTTGTCGAACGGGTTGAAAAACAGGCTGCCATGGTTGGCATCATTGATCATGGCCTCCCAAAGACTGGAAGACCATCAAGCGTCCTTGGGGAACAACAGTTGGCAGTCTGAAGGTGAAGTCCTGGCTTTAGGAAACGAAACCATTGCAACTGCTCAGTTCTGTTTCTCGGGCCAGTCCATAACGAGCCAATAATTCAAAGTAGGATTTATAAAGTTCTTGGTCAGCTCTTCTGCCAAGAAAGCTAAAGGAAATTTTAAATATTCATTAGCAATCGTGACTAATCCCTGCACATCCCAATCAACTTATATACTGCCAACTTAAAGCTGCTCTTTATTTTTATTTTTTTGAGGAATATACTAGCAACACCCCTAAGTTGATCAGATGGATGAATGAGACAACAAAACTCTTAATGAGTAGTCAGCAAATCTGATTTACAGAAAATCTGCATGAGTGGGATCTACACAGGGATGGTGAGAGGAATGACAGAGATGCTTTTTGTGTAAAAAGAAAAAAAAATCCACACAGACAGACACAAGACAGTGTTAGTCCAATACAAATACTTAGCCTCTCCTTATACATTGGTTTTTGCAGCCCAACTAGAACTTTCTTTCATGTTTTAAATGAAGAATGTTGTTTTGGGTTCAGTAATGATCTGGGGGTTTTGTCACAGGGTAAGGAAGGATACCCTGGACCACACACTACAGAGATTCCTAACCCAGGGTGCACAGAACAATATGACCCTGGATTATAGGGAATTCAGATCTTTCCCATCCATAATTGCCCTGGGGACGGTAGCCTCTCCTGTCAGAGGCAGAATGCACGGTGTGTGTGCCAAAGTTCCAAACCTTCAGATTGGATACTGCCATGTGCCTCCTAAATGTAGCTGAAAATATCCATTCATGCAAAAGGCAGCGATGAGACTATTTGCTCCAGGTAAGCACTGGAACCCATCTCAAACCTGTGCCCCATAAACGTGCAAATCCAGCCACCTCCCAAGGTACAGTGAGAGAGAACAGGAACTTTCCAACAGTGCTTCTCACCTATATGCACAGTGTGTATGAGAACCATCCAGAGAGCTTGTTAAAATAATGCTGATTGCCAAGGCTCACCTTGAGGTATCCTGATTCAGTCCGTCTAGTGCAGGGCCCAGCAATCTGTATGTATAATACTTTATTCAGAAGGTACTGCAGGTACGGACATGTTGAAGACGATGCACGCAGGTTTCATAGTTGGGCAAATCCCAATGCCTATATGGCAAGTAACTAAAGAACAAAGGAGACCCCCCCGCTTTAGAAGCACCTACGTACGTTCTGTGACAAAGAGGGCTGAAGAGGCTTGGTCGAGTCCGGGAGGCCCTTGGTTCCAGTAGACTGTTGCCTTGAAGGGATACAGGCCGGGGACTGCCTTCCAATTTTTTTTTTTTTTAAAGGGAAATCAGAAATACAGTTATCCCCCGCAAATTTAAAATGCTAACTCATTGTAGCTTTTAAATTCTAGGTAAGCCAAACAAAACAGGTCTGTTGGTGGCTAGCTTGCAACCTCGACTCCATGTTCTGCAGATGATGCCTATTTTATATGTCACTTCTCTGGGCTGTTTACTTTCAGATTTCACACCAAGATTAGGCCAGTGGTCCCCTCCTCATAGTCCCAAGAAACAAATTTCAAAAGATTGACAACTGAGCATCATTCATAGTGTCTTCCCTCTCCTAAATTGTCTGCTCCTTCCAATCTCAACCTAGATATACTTCCTTACAGGCCTGAGGTCTGACCTATCTTTTCAGAGGCACGTATGCTAAGAGAGAGAGGCATTTGTGATGTGACCGATTAATTCTTTAAGGATTAAAAATACTTGAACATTTGCATTTTTAATTATGCACAAGAAATCTGGAAACCTGGAAGAGATTAGCTGTAAGATCCAGAATTCAATGGAAGGGAAAATTAATCATTCATTTTTTTAAATAAGGAGGTACCATCTTGGTACACACTATCCTTCCCATGGAAGGAAGGAAAAAACAAAAGGAAGAGAGAAGGTGGGCAGAAGGGAGGAGACGAGTTGTGGCAGGCTCTCCGCGTTGCTCAGAAGGGGGAGATGATCATAAACTCTGGTAGAAGAGAGGCAGCCAAAGAGGGAAGGAAGATAAATTTCCTCATATTTTTCTTTCTTTAATACGCTGTTCATTTCTGTCCATTTTTCTAAATTCTACAAGTCAGTCCGAGAAATCGAATTCCACTTCCTTGAAGCCTTTCCTAACTACTCCAGCCCACATTCATCTCTTCTTTTCAATCCGTCTCTAACTGTCCTCTGTCCCAAATACTGCCTTACAGTGTTTTCCAGAACTTGCATGTGGATGGGGTTTTCTGTCTTAAGTTTGTGCCTTCATCACAGCCATTTAACATGTGTATATCTTGTATGTCACCTGCCTGTGGCGCAGTAAATTGTTCAGCAGCTATTTGTGATGAATAGACTGAAGGTGGCCTTCTGGTGTCCGTACCTTTTGCAATCCCCTACCCTTAAGTGTGGACAGTACCCACCCTTGCTTCTAACCAACGCAATGCGGAAACAGTCGTGCAATGTCTGTGATTACATTTATGCCATTACATAAGGACATGGTGTCCATCTTGCCTGTCTTTGTCTCTCCCCT